CGAATTTTTAACATTTTCTTTTATAATTCGAGAATGGATGGTGATATCGAGATGCGGTTTTCACCAATATTTAGTAGATTTTATGGTGATTAACGGTCTGTGAAGTAAATAGTACCGTTCCGTTTAACTTTTTTTCAAAAATTACAAAAATATGTAACCGCTGCAGATAACACCCTCTAGCTTATTTATTGTAAACCAAGCGGTCTTACTGAACATATCATAAAAGAGCATGAAATGCTCTTTCAAACAAGACCAAAAATATTCAAATCGGTTGAATGGTCCAGAAGATATTAAAATGTAAACATTTGAAAACGCATTGGCCTCCCCCTCCCTTATTATGACAGATATGAGATATATCGCAAAACAAAAGCGATGCGGTATTATCCAAGCTACTTATTACGAATTTTATGTTTCTCAATGGCAGTTACGCCCCCTAGCGGTCGAATTACGAACTTCAAAATAATTTCCAGCTATTTCTCTTCCCATTTTGCTTATAAGCATTTTTTTCCCAAACCTCTAGGCCTTACCGTTGTTGAGATACAGCCGCTCCGTACGCTTAACGGGACACCCTGTATGCCCAAGATAAAAATACTTTAAATGATTGCCGTCTGCACCCCAAAGTTGTTTTCTAAAAACTGTAGGCTTCTCGGAAGCTTAAGCATGTAGCAACCTAAGAGTATATGTTGCTGAAATTCATTATGAAATTTTGTTTAATCAAAGACTAGTGTAAGAATATCTTAAAAATTGTCTTTTTTGTCCTTTAATAATAACTGTTAGTGATAAAAAGAATTACGTCCATAACTAAATAATTTTGTGTGAAATTATTTAGTTGAATACAGGATTGCGAAAATTAATTTTCATCCATTAATGCTATATTCTAGTCTATTTGATCGTAATACCTAAACATGTAAACTAGATACACTCGCATATCGTACAATCATTGATTTAGGTTTCCTATCAATGTCGAATTACCTGATTATTCCAAAATATATAAACGCGATATTAACCACCCCTGTTATTATGAACAATTGGCTCCAAACACTCCATCGTTTCACAAAGGCTCGTTATTTGAAGATGAATCAACTTCATTTACATTTCAATAAACTCGGTGGCAACATAAGGGAATTGTAGAAATACTCTTTGAGCATTCCGAAATTGCGTTTTGAATGGTAAATTTACACAAATAGGTACACTTCAATGCGAGGAGAAACGAGATAATTTAGTTGTAAATTTTGTGCAGCTAATCATATTACAGTTGACATTTCGAATGACATTAAATCGTCATTGTAACGTTCGAGTAAATTCGTACGAATGATGAACTGTTAAATTGGAAATTCATCTCATAAAAAATATTCATGAACATCGAAAATATTTAAACAATTCATGTGCGATTTATTAACGATTAAGACGACTGATCAATGGCATGATAATAGCTTCGAACGAATTTAATAATATCCTTGTAAAAAATTTGTTTGGTCTGATGATAAAAATGTGTGTGATATTTTTAATTAATCCAACAAAATATGTGAAATGTGCACGCATTGGAGATTTATTACCGGCAGAAAAGGCCATGGGAATAAATTTAAAATTGCAGAGAATGTGTAATTCGTTAACACTTGTGGATCGGTGTCCCAATGAAAATATAACTTTCTGGTTACACACTAGGTACGATTTAATTCGATGAATAAAATATTTACTTTATAACTTCATTTATAGAGATTCCATAGAACCATATCAACTCAAGGAATTATCCACAAACTCGTTCAAGAAAGCACCATTTTTCCCAAAAGTCCCAATTAAAATTCTCGTTCACGGTTACGCTGGAAATAAGCATGGTACTCCTAATTTGGAGCTTAAACCAGGTAGTTTTGGTAATATAACAATAAGATGTGGTAATGTTGAGTTTGTAGAATATCTTAAAAAAGGTTACAATGTTATCTCTATGGATTATGGACCAGTAGTTAAACATCCGTGTAATTTGCAATGCGTTAGAAATTTGGATGTAGCAGGAAAATGTTTAGCAAATTTTATTAGGACGCTATTAAGAAAGAAGATCAAACGAAGAAAATGTAAAATTAAAAGATCCGATATACATCTCCTTGGATTTGGGATAGGCGCTCAAGTGGCTGCTAAGGCTGCAGAATCAATAAAGAAAACTGTGGGTTCTTTACCTCGTGTAACCGGTTTGATCGAAATTAATTCTATGTTTCAGTATTTATAATAATATTTTAGCTTTAGATCCTGCTCTTCCATTATTTTATGGCGTAAAACCTTCTCTATCGAAAAAAATAGCAGATTTCGTTGACGTTATTCACACAGCAACTGTGTTGTATGCTTATTTAGCGCCTAGCGGACATAGTGACTATTTCGTAAATACGGCTATTTGCCAAGGAGAATGTACAGTGAGTAAGTTAGAATATATTCATCTTTATGGGATGGTAACGTTTTTTAAAATTGAAGCCGTGTCATGTACACGAGGAATGTCTGCAGTTTATTATGCAGAGTCCATTAACGGTGAAGGGCAATTTTGTGGTTTTGACTTGTTTGTAAGTGGAAATAGGGTAGCCATGGGCGAAAAAGCAACAAAAAAGTTCGTTTTGTAAACCATATACTAGTTGTATTTAATTCTGAAATCCATTTTTAGTGTAACCGGATCGTTTGGAGTATTCACCAACCCAACATCACCATACGCACGTGGATGTCACGAAGTGGATCGTTGATCTTGCATAATAATATGTAGGTGTAAGATAACTGTAGGGTTATGATAATAAAGATTTGATTTAATTATTTTGTAACAGCAAAATAATAACCTAGCTTTTGACATTTTATTTTTTTGTCAAAGTCGGTATTTCTTATCAATGTGAGTAGTATTTAATTCACGTTAAATATGATACAGGGATGTGATCATACTGGTATAATATGAACCTGTTTTACGTGAAATGCGAATCCCAGTGCCTCGATTATTACCACTTTATCTGATATACACATTTTCCATATTACCGGTAACGAGAGGCGAGTTCGAGGCGAAAGTTGATCAATATTGCGACAAATTCCTGTTGAACAATAGCCGTAATTGTAGGAGATTAACTGATTACTATTTGTACGTCAAGTAAGGTATAAACATGATTGTGTAAGTTGGTGTCGAGTAACTTTGAAAATTACAGACCGTATCAATCCGAGTATCGTCTAAACACCGACAAGCACAGCGTGAGGTATGCTCCTTTTACTCCTAACGTTCCAATTAAGATTATTTTGCACGGCTTTAATGAATCTTATCGTTCTACACCAAACAAAGAAATAAGACCAGGTGATTTTAATTTTTTTGCTCGATTCATATTTCGTAATCAAAACATCTATCAAGGTCACTTTATGTTGAGAGATGATAGTGATTATCATTCTTCCACATCATATATCAACATCATTAAATATCGCATCCCTCTACTTATCTCNACATTACTGTCTGTACTAATTTTAAAGTATAGGTCAAAAAGCTCCCCGATTGCAAGCAACTATTTACTAATTTTGGGTTTCACCGATATTTAATTTATTATTTTTATTCAATATAAATTTAGTTTAATAAATTTTAGGTACCCACAGTTCTTAATTGTTTCAGGTTGTAAATACATTATTCATAAATCTATTTATTGATAAAATGCATATTACCCAATAGGAAAACAGTAGGAATGTCTTGCCAGTACATGCTATCCTTTTTTGAACTTTCGTTTCTCTGTCGTCAAATATATTCTCATCAAGCGGTTAAGGAGCCTTAATGCTATATTCTAGTCTATTTGATCGTAATACCTAAACATGTAAACTAGATACTACGCGCATATCGTACAATCATTGATTTAGGTTTCCTATCAATGTCGAATTACCTGATTATTCCAAAATATATAAACGCGATATTAACCACCCCTGTTATTATGAACAATTGGCTCCAAACACTCCATCGTTTCACAAAGGCTCGTTATTTGAAGATGAATCAACTTCATTTACATTTCAATAAACTCGGTGGCAACATAAGGGAATTGTAGAAATACTCTTTGAGCATTCCGAAATTGCGTTTTGAATGGTAAATTTACACAAATAGGTACACTTCAATGCGAGGAGAAACGAGATAATTTAGTTGTAAATTTTGTGCAGCTAATCATATTACAGTTGACATTTCGAATGACATTAAATCGTCATTGTAACGTTCGAGTAAATTCGTACGAATGATGAACTGTTAAATTGGAAATTCATCTCATAAAAAATATTCATGAACATCGAAAATATTTAAACAATTCATGTGCGATTTATTAACGATTAAGACGACTTATCAATGGCATGATAATAGCTTCGAACGAATTTAATAATATCCTTGTAAAAAATTTGTTTGGTCTGATGATAAAAATGTGTGTGATATTTTTAATTAATCCAACAAAATATGTGAAATGTGCACGCATTGGAGATTTATTACCGGCAGAAAAGGCCATGGGAATAAATTTAAAATTGCAGAGAATGTGTAATTCGTTAACACTTGTGGATCGGTGTCCCAATGAAAATATAACTTTCTGGTTACACACTAGGTACGATTTAATTCGATGAATAAAATATTTACTTTATAACTTCATTTATAGAGATTCCATAGAACCATATCAACTCAAGGAATTATCCACAAACTCGTTCAAGAAAGCACCATTTTTCCCAAAAGTCCCAATTAAAATTCTCGTTCACGGTTACGCTGGAAATAAGCATGGTACTCCTAATTTGGAGCTTAAACCAGGTAGTTTTGGTAATATAACAATAAGATGTGGTAATGTTGAGTTTGTAGAATATCTTAAAAAAGGTTACAATGTTATCTCCATGGATTATGGACCAGTAGTTAAACATCCGTGTAATTTGCAATGCGTTAGAAATTTGGATGTAGCAGGAAAATGTTTAGCAAATTTTATTAGGACGCTATTAAGAAAGAAGATCAAACGAAGAAAATGTAAAATTAAAAGATCCGATATACATCTCCTTGGATTTGGGATAGGCGCTCAAGTGGCTGCTAAGGCTGCAGAATCAATAAAGAAAACTGTGGGTTCTTTACCTCGTGTAACCGGTTTGATCGAAATTAATTCTATGTTTCAGTATTTACAATAATATTTTAGCTTTAGATCCTGCTCTTCCATTATTTTATGGCGTAAAACCTTCTCTATCGAAAAAAATAGCAGATTTCGTTGACGTTATTCACACAGCAACTGTGTTGTATGCTTATTTAGCGCCTAGCGGACATAGTGACTATTTCGTAAATACGGCTATTTGCCAAGGAGAATGTACAGTGAGTAAGTTAGAATATATTCATCTTTATGGGATGGTAACGTTTTTTAAAATTGAAGCCGTGTCATGTACACGAGGAATGTCTGCAGTTTATTATGCAGAGTCCATTAACGGTGAAGGGCAATTTTGTGGTTTTGACTTGTTTGTAAGTGGAAATAGGGTAGCCATGGGCGAAAAAGCAACGAAAAAGTTCGTTTTGTAAACCATATACTAGTTGTATTTAATTCTGAAATCCATTTTTAGTGTAACCGGATCGTTTGGAGTATTCACCAACCCAACATCACCATACGCACGTGGATGTCACGAAGTGGATCGTTGATCTTGCATAATAATATGTAGGTGTAAGATAACTGTAGGGTTATGATAATAAAGATTTGATTTAATTATTTTGTAACAGCAAAATAATAACCTAGCTTTTGACATTTTATTTTTTTGTCAAAGTCGGTATTTCTTATCAATGTGAGTAGTATTTAATTCACGTTAAATATGATACAGGGATGTGATCATACTGGTATAATATGAACCTGTTTTACGTGAAATGCGAATCCCAGTGCCTCGATTATTACCACTTTATCTGATATACACATTTTCCATATTACCGGTAACGAGAGGCGAGTTCGAGGCGAAAGTTGATCAATATTGCGACAAGTTCCTGTTGAACAATAGCCGTAATTGTAGGAGATTAACTGATTACTATTTGTACGTCAAGTAAGGTATAAACATGATTGTGTAAGTTGGTGTCGAGTAACTTTGAAAATTACAGACCGTATCAATCCGAGTATCGTCTAAACACCGACAAGCACAGCGTGAGGTATGCTCCTTTTACTCCTAACGTTCCAATTAAGATTATTTTGCACGGCTTTAATGAATCTTATCGTTCTACACCAAACAAAGAAATAAGACCAGGTGATTTTAATTTTTTTGCTCGATTCATATTTCGTAATCAAAACATCTATCAAGGTCACTTTATGTTGAGAGATGATAGTGATTATCATTCTTCCACATCATATATCAACATCATTAAATATCGCATCCCTCTACTTATCTCAATATTACTTCCTCATCATCCCTTTTCGTCCTTGAGACTATTAGAGATTATTTCGTCTTCTCTCAACGTTTTTCTATCTGTTCATGAATCTTGTCTTTTACACATTTGTGGTTATTTATAAAAAATATTCTGTTTAATCTAATAATTTATGATTAATAATAATAACGATTTCCGATTAAAAACATGAATTTTCAGAATATTTGCACGAAGGTTACAATGTGATTTCGGCGGATTTCTCCCAATATGTACAATACCCGTGTTATAGAGTGGCTGCTTACAATGTGAGGATACTGGGAGAGTGCTTTGGAAAATTCTTAAAATACATGTTAAGAACCAAAGTGGAGGCTAGGAAAATCGATAAAACTGATTTACATGTGATTGGTTATAATTTAGGAGCGCAAATAGCGGGGAAAGGGAGTAAAACCTTGAGGAAGAATAATCGTTTACGAAGATTCACTGGTGAATTACTTCATTTTGAATATTTTTACAAAATAACATTCTATTTTTCCAGCTTTAGATCCAATATTACCAATATTTTACGACGAAGATAATTACGTGTGTCCTGAATGCGCAGATTTCGTTGATGTTATTCATACAAACACTAAAATGCGTAAAAAATTGAAACATTTGGGACATGTTGATTTTTATTTTAATAATCCACTTTTCACTAAAGACGTCTCTATTAGTAAACAATTGAAATAGAAGAATATAAGTGATAATAAAAGAAACAATGTTTTAGCTAATCCAAGATGTTTCACCTCATCATCGCCTCGTTATTTTGGTGAATCCATCAGTGAAGTTCCGTATTATCGTAATTCAAACGCATATCTTAGTGGAAGTAAAGTTATTGTAGGAGAATGGACATCATATGAGTTAATATAATATGGTTTGTTTAACTTTAATACTTTAATAAAAAGTTTTTAGGACAAGAGGGGTTTATGGTGTTTACACCACTAATGATTCGGTTGATAAGTATAGTTCTTTGCCTTCTTCTAAAAAAATTATTGGTGTGTATAAAATATCTAATCTTGAAATAAGTGATAAAACGTAATAAATTTAAAGCAAATCTGTTAATTTAAGAAAAAAATAAAATAATATCTTTTTATTTGGTTCATTATTACAAAATTAGCTAAGCTTATATTTATGTTAACAAAAGAAAATAATCCATTCCTTTTATCTTTGTTGCTTCGCATGAATAGAGGCCTTTTAATTTGGGACCCAACATTGGGATAACATTGTAAAGACTTTTTGACTGATCTTCTGCATACCAATTTAAATTTTCCCTCCATCGTTGTCGACCGAAAGTGTTTTTGCTCGTTTTACGATGTATTGTTCTAGATTGCAGGGTAGTCGGGTTCAGCTTGAGACACGCGTCGGGGACGTCACATCGTTCTTGTCTTTTTTTGCTCATGGTAATCGTTTGAAAGTAACTTTTGACCTCTTCTGTACCACGACGGCGTCGGTTCGTTATGAGAAGTCCTAAGATCCATTTTTTACACAGAATGTTTAATGGATGAAGGATCACGAACGTTTTAAACTCTCAACGCTGAGTGTGAAACCTCGGATTTTTTGGGGTTTCATGGTTAAAAGGATATGGTAATAATACTGAAACGTATGAAACTCAAGAAAATTATACAAAAAAATCGACGTGATTTTATTCTTGAGAGTAGCTCTTGATCGGCAGTGTTGGAAGTAAGAGATAAACGAGGCAGAGCTGTTATTATTATTATTATTATACTTCAACCCTATAAGAGTAGAAGAGTTTATGAATAATTGTAAAATAATGTTAGATACTATACACTAGTGAATTTCGATACATTTTATTGTCCTTTAATGTTCTAATCCTAAAATATCACTTGTAAAGTCTATACGAAGTAATTTTAAAAATTCCTCAAAGATAACCTCAAATTAAATTTTTCAAAATTATTTATTTTAATCTTTATCTACCCGGTTCAAACCTATTGAAAACGATAACCTTAACTTAGTTAACAAAGAAAATAATCAATATTTGTATGGAATAATGAAATTTTTAATGAAAATTTACAAAATTAATTTGAACATATTGGAAAATTTATCGTTGAAATCAAAACAAAATGAATAGATATTTGAAAATTGATTTAAAAGAGTATCAAAATTACGAATTATCATGCATTATTATAAATAATTTTAAAATTTTTAAATAATAATTTGACAAATTAAATTAGAGATATTTCGAATGTCGAAGTTGGTAACATTGAAAGAACTAAAGTACAAATTTCAAACCGATGAATTTAACCAATCAGGAGGCGTTATTTCAAAATTTAACATTCGATAAACGGAATTTATCAACAAGAATGGTGGTTTCTGTTGTCTGAAGAGACGCACGCATTTTTTTGCTCTCCAAAAAAATAAATTAAGTCAACGTTTAAAAAATCCGTTCCTGTCCAACCACTGAAGAAAACGACCGATCCTGTTCCTATCGAAGAAACTAATTTCGTCCCGTATTGGAAATATTACTGTCACGAAGAAAATATCCTGAGTTTGACCTCCGAAGTTTTCATAAAAACAAACTGACTAAGTTAAGTTAATTTTTTTTTAATGATTTATTGTTTTGTTGATTCAAATTTTAAAAAACTTCTTACCTTCAATACGAAAAGTTATCCCACTATAAAATTTTGAGGTTAGGATTACAATTTCCTTAATTAATTTAATGTTTCACGAGTTTTTCAAACCATAGCAATATCCGAGTTGATAAATATTACTTCGTATTAACTAATCTAGAGAATTTGTTCTTATAATCAGTAAATCCATATAATTTTGTCAATAACATTTCACTTTAAGTTGTGCACGTGTTTGTCTGGACACTGTTGCCAGAACCTGTTTTTGTGCTTTTGACCCTGAGATATAATTCGACAATTATATTTGAATATAAATTTTTCAATTTAATAAAAATCAATTTATTAATAAATTTAGTACTCATTTTTATTAAAATAATTCTTTTCGAAAGAAGAGGGGCTATTTTATGGCAACATTACAGTATGTACCTTAAGCTGTCACATTTCCGCTTCATAATTCATAACGTGTTTTTCTTGGCAACATATTTACGTGTTAATTGATTATCTCTGATATTTAGTTACTCAGGGTGTTATTTCGGGTTGGGTTGAATTATATTTGCCAAGGTCATGAATGTTGTATTATGCCAGGGACATTGGGAAAGGTCATGATAATTAAGGTTAATTTAACGGGATTCGACTGGCGACATTGCTTTGAATTATCCAAAAACTTTTATTTCTCGTATTCGAACTCAATTTGCAGTGAGTGTTACTGTAGGTAATTGGGTTGGATTGGTTGGTTAAATCTATATAATAGAACCGCCGAATTTAGAGTACGTCCCGAGTATAGAAGCAATAAATATTCATGAAATATTCATGCACCAGAAAATGCTTGCCATTCGTTGCGTTCCTCCGTTGTTAAGCGGCGACGTGATCGGGGATTAGAACGGATTCCGTGGGTTACTGTGTGCACTGTTAAATCTAGATTTTGTTGATGTTGGAAGAATACGACTTAACTTCGGCTTCTATAAAGAATGCGGCAGTGCATAAAATAACATTTTTTATTAAATTTATTGCATTTCAAATTGTTCTATTAACTATTTATTAGTAACAACAAAGTTACCTGTGCAGAAAAGTTATATCCGCGATTTGAAATTCCTTAAAACCGCCAAGTGGTAAAGTGTGTAATACAAGCATTAAACTATTAGTTGGCGCTTAGGGCGAAAACTTTAGATTCCATACTCCGTTCGCGCTCGAAGCTTTAGAGCTTTTTTCTATTTTTTTTTACCCCCGTTATATTTTATCTTTACTGCGCTGCATTAAGGCTCGTTATTAGTCCGTTCTGTACGAGTTTAGAACAAAAAAAACTAAAGTTTGCGACTTCGCTGGTTTCTGCTTGACGTTTATTTCGGCCGAAGACGTAGCTGAATTTTAATTCAAATTCGGATGAGGAGTAGGATGTTACGACTGCGAAAATTTGCATATGAATTACGTACTGCTGATGAAAGTGTCTGTTACAGCAATCCAATTAGTGGAAATAATTTAATCCGGTCTGGTCGAAGGACGAATCTGCTTTATCTCGGAGAATATGAATCCGGGTTGCTGTGAGGAATGGGATAAAAGGGAAATGCAGCTATGACGTAGACTTCGCTTTGAGATTTCATCGATTAGATATCTATACGCTCTAATGAAACTAATGTTAAACGAGAAATTACCAACAATTTACTTGAGTTTTTTAAGTTTTAGAAGAAATTCAATTTACCTCTTACCATCAATTCGGTCAAACTTCAATAACCGAGGGCATATTGAACGCGTGCGGGTTTTAGAAGGAACCACATATAAACTCGGACCCTTTCTCGACCTCGACTTTGAAAGAAGTGATTCAATAATGGCACTAAAAGTGGAGTAGGTCGACCTATGAGTGCTCTCTGATGGCAGGAAAAAGGCTGTAAGAATTTTAATGCAATATATCACATCATATTTCCTATAAAACGTTACCCGGCACTTATCGCTAAAAACGTAACAGCAAATTGTTCTACCTATATCATTTTTATTACTAAAATGTATGTCTAAAATTATTTTGTACATACCATATTTCTGAATTCCGATAAAAATCCACCATATCCACTGGCCCATAACACAGGAATTCCAGAATAAGTTGCAGCTAATGATACAGTTTGCGCTGCAGGACTATGACTAAGCACGAGCACCGCAATGACATGTTTCCCCTCAAACTTATCGCACAATTTCTGCAAAAGGTTTGCACTAAATGATCCATTTTCGGGTAGCTCAACCATCAACGTATCAACACTGACGTTGCACCGGCCATTTACTACTATGCCTTGGGTGATATTCATTAACGTCTTATTGAAAGCCCTACTGTAGCTTTGCTCACTGGGAGTTGCTGCTATAGCAAAATACATCTTCTTATTTGGAGTTTCGCGGTTCTTGTGCGAGCTAACGACGGCCGACAGCAGGATAAGCGCGCGGACGAATACGTGCAGCGACATGTTTCGATTGATTTGTGCGTTCGGTTTGGCTTCAGACGGTTTGGTTACTATTCTTATGCAGGCATCTTACAATGTCATACGAACGGGACGCGATTATAACGATTAATAACGTTCATTATGGTATCCAGGTCGATGATCAAGATCAAAGCCTTTGACATCGTGCCGGATCTAGCTCGTTTATTCGGCGTCACTGCCCGTTCTTATTGCTTATGGTTCGTTGCGGTAAGGACGTTTAAGTAAAATCTCCACGTCGGAGTTTACTTAAATTTCACTTTACGGTAATGTGGTTTGGGCCATTTCCTTGTAGTCATGTTCTTCTTAAAGCTATCAATGATGTTTTGCACATCTGGAAAAGAAAATTAAATGTGTTATTACTATTAGTCTTCACATCCGAAAAGTTTATTTGCGTATACGATATTATTTTTTCAGAGGCATAATAATGCCACCATGTGTTCTAGTTTAGTTCAACATCTATATTCAGTTTTAATTGGATTTCTACCGCAACTGTTGCATAAATATCACGAGAACTCAAAATATGACCAAATTAATACAGTAATTACCATATAAAACTTTTTATGAAACAAACTAAATTAATTAAATTTAATTTTCGTCTTGACGATTTTATCTAAGACGTCTGCGTCTACAGTAGATAGCAAAAAGGAAAATATTTTCACACCCGAGCTCTCTCTTTTATGAAAGTTGAAAGCGATGAGACGCTTCATTCCTTTTATCACGAATAGGAATAATAAATAAAATGAAAATTTGCCTGAAATTTAATTAAATTAAAAGCACCCGCATCTCAATTAAATTGTATAGCTGTCTTTCACAATTAGGGTCGTGGAAAATAACCGCGAAACAACAACCTTTAAAATTGAAAACATAAATAACCGCTTTACAGTGCAAAAGTTTCTTTCAAACCTTATTGATGGATCCCCTTTGAGAAATCTCTTTTCGTATCTTAAACCTTTTCCTGCGGGGGTTTGTAATTCATCAAATTTCAGATTCAAGCTGCCGAAAATTTACATATTTAGACCCTTTGGAATATCAGGGTTATCCGTTTTCGT